AGCCATCACACCTTCCAGCCTTTATGAGTGTAAGAAAAAATATGGCCACTATTTAAAACGCAAGTCTAAAGGTGCTTTATGATATCATCCTGGGCTGTCAGAAGCATGTACTGAAAGACTGATGGAGATATAGGCCACTCAGCAGGGCAGGTTCCTTGATTTCTCAGGGATTGTGTTCTCCCAGGAGACACCTGCCTAGCTCTGTTGCCACTGAGCCGGGGAAGTCAGACCATGAAGATGTTACCCCTCAGACCAGACTGCTAGAAGCCTCGTTTTCTCTCCCACACTGGTCATTTGCAGCTGAGAAGCATCCTCCTTGGCCTAGACTGTACCACTCAAAAGCAACATCCCTACAGGCCACTAGATGACACCACAGGTCAAGCTGCCTTTTTTCTGAGTATCCAGTGATCAGGACCAACGAGCTTTCAGCTGGTGGGGACAAATTTCCATAAGCCCAAGGTCCTGCCAGGCGGGCACCATAAATAGATGAATCACAAGACATTAAATACCTACTACGCTCTAGTCTCTGGGCTTAGGAGGCCCTACCCTCCTTCGAGACGCTCCTACAGAGAAAACACGAAAGCTCGTTCTTGCATACATACGCGCATGTATCTATGCACACATGTATCTGAGTATCCATGACTCTCTGCCCAGTGTCAAGCACCATATGTAGTTCCCAGTATTAAGACGTTGTTCCAGCTCATTTGGTAGGGCAGGGTTAAGTCTCAGGTTATGTGACAGCAGCCAGTCCTTCTCAGACAGCTCACATGAGAAAGGCTTACCTGGTTGTTTAGGGAGGAGCCAAGGCCAACAGAGCCACAGAAACAGACCCTACCTAGGGAGGGGGCGTGTCTATGGGGTGGTGTTCCTCAGCACAGTCAGACAGGCTTGCTGGGGGAAGGAGCAGGCAAGGAGACGTGGCAAGTCCCATGTCCCGAGCACAGAGCGCTGCAGACACGGGACTCAGCTTCTGTCGATGACACACTTGGCACAGTTAGAGGCGGGAAAGTGCGGGGGGTGGGGTGACATAGCTGGGTACAACACGGAGGATGGGTGGGCAAACCTCCAAGAGGCTTCTATGCTTAGTTCAGAGTCATTTTCAAAGGCTACAGAAGCCACCAAAGGTTCTTAGAGCAAGGGAACTTCTGAGGTTGAGTTCAAATGGCTGTTTTGTTTTTTTTCCAGGAAGGGATGTATATTTATACTTCAGAAGATTATACAGCTCAGTGCTGCCTTTGGAAGGAAAAAAAAAACCTTCGAAACGTATGGATGCTAAGTCTGGCCTTGTAATTGTATTCTGCCGCACGGTACCCTGAGGTTTTAGAATCTGAGCACAGGACTGACTCAGGACATCCAAACTTGCTAAGAGACACCTTCATCTGTCACTTTAGTTTCTATTATAACCAAGGCCCAGTTTATCAGCCTGATGGAAGCGGCAGCAGGGCCAGATGACAATGTGTAACATACTTACACACTGCACTCTCCAGCAGGCTCTCAGCTGGACTCCACAGTCAGCTTCAGTTGTGCACACACGAAGAACACAAGCTAGGCATGAAAAGCAGCTGCCATATCAAGCTACTATCCCAAACCAGGATCCTGCATCATTTAAAAAACACAGCCACAAGTTTTCAGAAACCAGACCTTACTTCCACAGCAGGTTCCTGAATACATTTGCCGTCCACTTTTGCAAACATTTTCCTGAAAGAGCCTCTGACCTGATAAAGACTGTTCAGGCATTGAGGCTATGTTTCCCCTAAGCCAAATGAACATCTGGATATGCGCTTATCAGTGCATAAGTACCCGGATATTACAGGCAGATAGGACATCTAGCTCCTGGTTGAAATGTTGTATCTTTGTTAGATAAGCTCCTGTAACAGGATGTAACCTCCTGTAACAGGATGTAACCTCAACAAGAGGGCTAACTAGAGGCTAAAATGTGCATCTGGTAACTGGAGAGTTTAGGGAACTTAGATGGCATGCTCAACATCCCCGGGCTCACAAGAGGCTGTGTGGGGCTTAAACCCCTGATGGAGTTTCCCATCTATTCACTGTCCACTCCAGCAGTTGTCTCAGAAATAACTTATCGAGAAGATTCTGGAAGCAGTGACCAGCCAGTCCTGATATTCACAACTGTGTCAGTTTATGTGAAGAAGACCAAGTGGGTTGGAAAGATACTTTGTGGTTTGCCTTGCACGAGATACAAAGTCAATCTGATTAACTTGGCCCCACAGCAGAACCCTCTGTCCATGTTTTCACGGATGGAGGCAGGCTTAGCAAGTGTTCCATAATGTTCTCAGCAGAAAGAGCATTAAGTGTTGCCTAGACTGCCTCTTCTGGTTTGGAAATTCCTACAGTAGAAAGCACATTGAACGAAAGAGCAGACTCCTTGGGTTTCAGTCACAGCGGGTTGCTTCTAGTTCCTCATTGTCTACACTCAGTGGGAACCCCATCTCCTGCAGAAAGCACACACTAGGCAAAGCAGGAAGGCAATGCAAACGTTCTCACTTCTCAGGGAGCAAGGGGGAACCAGGGCTTCTCCCAGGGACAAATCACTAAGCTTTACCCTGAAATGTGTGCATGTCTCCACCTTGTGGTCACTCGGAACACTATATTAAACTCAAGTCTCTACCCAGCAATAGCAACAAAGTAGCTTTTTAGCACAGGCTACAGCAGAATCTTAGGGAAGCAGCACACCGGCTTGTATATCAAGAGAAGAATGAATAATGGCCAACTCTAGGTCAGCTGTGTGGGAAGCCCAAATCGCCTAACCAATAGTAAGATATTAAATTGTGCACACTTCAGTTTTATTACTGTACACATCACTGTTTTCAGTGTTTATGGGAAGCTAGAAACACACAATGATGCTGACTTGGCCAGACAGTGCCACATTGTTTATCAGGGGATTGGCATTCTCAGCCATTCTGGATGGGAGAAATTTGTTCAGACTGTTAATAATTTAGTAGTTCTTGTTTTAGAAGGTTTTACCTCCTAAAATGGTCCTAACTTCAGGACAAAATCTAGATACCTCTACAACTATGCTTTAAAAGTTTTTATGAGATTTTTTCTTAAGTGTCTTTTATTGTGTACACCCCCTTCTCTCTGTGTGTGTGTGTGCGTGCACCTACGCATGGTCTCTTACTGAGCCTGGGGCTAGCGTAGTAGAGAGCATTGCTCAGCGACCCTCTTCCCTTCTGCTACCCCACGGTGCCAAGCTAAGTTTCATAGAGCCATACCTAGCTTTTTAATGTGGATGCTTGGATTTGAACCCAGGTCCTCCAGCAATTACCCTAACCCACTCAAACATTCCCCCAGCTCTGTGCTTATGCTTATTTGTGGTTGGGGGGTGCAGAGATGGCTCCGTGGTTAAAAGCACTGGATGCTCTCAAAGAGGACTTGAGTTTGATTCCCTGCACCCTTTGTGGGTAGCTCACAACCACATGCAACTGAGGGGTTCAATGTTCTCTTCTGACCTTTGCAGGTACCAAGCACACGCATGGTGCGCAGATGTATATGCAGGCAAAACGCTCACGTAAAACCACAGTAATAAAAAGAATATTAAGAGTACTGTCTCAGTACAGCAAAAAGGTACTGGCAAGCAGTGTAGCTCAGTGGGTAGATCAATGGCTGTGGTGCTACATTCCCTGGCCCCTTTTAATTTCTTTAAATAATATATTTCAGTTATGTGTCTTGAGTGTGGGTGAGGCTGACGTGCAGGATCCCTTGGAGCTAGAGGTACAGCTGTTTTGCAAGATACCTGACATGGGTGCTGGGAATTGAACTTGGGGCCATGGAAGAACAGAGCATGCTCTTAACCAGTGAGCCATCTCTCCAGCCCTGGGCTCTGCATCTTAACTGGTAGACGACCACTTGTAAGTTATCTCATCTTTCCATTCTGGTTTCCTTGTATACCAGCCAAGGACTGTGACATCGTTTACTCCTAAGGTAACGTATACAAGGACCAACTCAGTACTAGAGGGGGCCCAGCCATTACTAACATTCCAGAGACACCACCGGTTCTCCATCCCATGTCTATGGAGCACGACTGTGGTTGCTAACCCTGCCTTCTCCTGTCATTTTCATTGTTAGGACACTAAGGGTGGGCATGGTCTCAGAAAACTTCAGAGCAAGTCGTGTGAACGGGTGAAGTCTCAGGCCAGCAAGACAAAGAGATGTGACATTTGCAAACCCCCGCTCCCACCCGCCCCCCCAGACACCAGGTACACACTCCACTGCTTATGAAAGGCCCTCAGACGCCACGAGGTGAATCTTCGACTCACAGAGAACAACGGAGAAAGAGGCAGCTTTGCCTTCTCCCTCTAGCCATGCACGCATATGTTCACCCGTTCAGAAGTAGCCATGAGCTCTGGTGTGCATTGCACAGCGGGAGGGGGAAGGGAGACCATAATATGTCAGCTCATACTCGGGACCCCTTCAAATAGTGGAAAGCATTGAAAAGGGCCTGCCGTGGGGTACAGGCGTGGTGAGGGCACAGGACAAGGTACCCTCTCAAATGGAACGGCTGGGGGCGGGGGGGAGCTCTGCAGCCCGCACGCACGCAAGGAGACAGAAGCCCAGAAACAGTGCAAACAGCGGGGCTGGAAGGAGGCGGTGGAGATGAAGGGTGGAGGGAGGAGGCGCAGCAGAGGAGAGCGATGGGGGGAAGGGGGGGAGCGTGGTGGGAGATGCATGAGCTCTGAGAGGAAGGGAATAGATGGGTCTGTACACCCAGAGAGGTCAAGTCACCAGCCAGGCAGTTATCCAGAGCAAGGTTGGTATGGGGGACACAGGCAGCAGATATGTCCGTATAGTGAACATCTGTGGGTCCCCGGCTGAGTCTGTCTACCTGGCTCCTTTGAACGACAGCACAGCAGTGACCCAACCACACCACGGAGCCTCTCTGGCAGCCGCAGATGAGGCAGCCAGCACCAGCTCTAAAGACCTCTTCGTAGAGGCAAGCAGAGAGATGCAAGAACGGCCAGCCCACCTGTGTGTTTACTTACCCGCTGGTGATGTCATCAGCCCTGATGTTCTTGCTCAGGACGTCTCCATCACTCATGTAGCCAGGGGCATCCATGCTGATGCCTTCCAGGTCCACGTCATCGCCTGCCTTGTCCGAGACATCCACGTGGCAGATGCTGCTGCCCCTGGAGGCCAGTTGCCTTCTCAGAGGGGCAGAGTACACGTAGCGGCCTGCCTCCGCACTGATGAAGCGGCTGGCGTTGGCTCGGGGTGGGTACCCGTTGCCCATGGAGGGGGCATCGCCTGCCTGCAGCCGAGGGCTGGACTGCCCGAGTCTCCAGGACAGAGGAGTGGGCCTTCCTGTCAAGCTGAGGAGGCTGCGCCCACTTATCTCCGTGGTGACATTGGTGTCAAACGTAGTTTCTAATGTACTGAAAAGATAAAACCAACCTGGGTTAGACCCCAATGTGCTTTGCAGGTTAGATGGGTTTTAAATGTTCAGAATTGCAAAAACAAAAAACAAAAACAAAAAACAAAACAACCCGCCCAAAACAAAACAAAACAAAAAACCTTCACATTTACAAAGCAAGGTAAGACAGCAGGCACCAAATACCACCTCTTAGAGCACATTTCACAGCCCCTTCCCCCCCACCTAACAGCCTAGAGTCAGTGTCGGTGACTAGGTGCAGAAAGGACAGATTCATGCTTAATCATGAAGCCACAGGACCTAACATCTGGACCCAAATCTTCAAATACCTCAAGGGTTAGGAAGGCGCTGTCCCTAAACTCTCAAGTTCACTTTCCCCTGACCAGCCAGTTGTCCCATACCCTGTCTCCAACAATCCTGGAACTGACCTTGTTTTTCACATCTTGGACCCTTGGGTTCTACTGAAGTCAGAACCCACAGTGGCCAAGATTCTTAGTGGCGAGTTTGACTGTTTAGTACTGGCTGTCAGCTTGACAGAATCTAGAATCACCTAGAAGAAAAGCCTCTGGGTGAAGAGAGGTCACCCATCTGAGAGGTGGGTGACACCCTTCTATGAGCTGGAATCCCAGACTGTATAAAAAGAAGAAAGCAAGCTGAGTATCAGCATCCAAGTCTCTCTCTGCTTCGTGACGGTGGGCCAGCGAGCTGCCTCACCTGCCTCACCACGATGAATCACATCCCCTCAAACCCCAAGCCAATCCTCTTTCTTCCTTAAGTCACTTCCTTAGGCGTCTAAGGGGGGGGGGGAGCCCCACATTTCCTCCCTTTACACATTTACCGAACAAACTGAAACCCGAGAAGCGAGGAGAACCCTTGAGAGCTCAGCCAGGGTGGCCAGGACTCTTTGATATTCAAAGCCAAACACAAACTGTGTGACCTCATCCTGCCAAAATCACAGCAGTGCCAGCACCGAGTCCTCCTCAACGGTCTTGCAGAACAATGAAAACAACCCGAGAGCCCTTCCAAAGAAACCATAGCTTAAACAGAGCCAAGTTTCACGAGCACTTCCTCTTTCATACACATCAGCTGCAGCAGAGGACCTGGTAGGAATTCAAGTTACTCAGTTTGTCGCACAGTGTCAGACACGATTCACCTGCCCCTTCTAGAGGCTTCGCGTTGTTTTGAATAACGCAAGTCAAAGCATAAATGCAAGAGCAATTTCCTCTGAGCAGTAAACAATGAAACCTGAGTGGGGGGGGAGCTGGGCGTTGGTGGCCCAGCCTTTAATCCCAGCACTCGGGAGGCAGAGACAGGTGGATCTCTGTGAGTTCGAGGCCAGCCCAATCTACAGAGTGAGTTCCAGGACAGCCTCCAAAACAAAACAGAGAAACCCTGTCTCGAAAAAACCAAAAGAACCAAACAACCAAAAACCCAAAACCAAACAACCAAAAAAGAAACCTGCGGGGGAGGTGTCTGTGTACACTCATGTCCATCCCCTTAACTACTGAACATTGTCTTGCCTTCTCTGTGAATCCTAACCCATTGGGGGATGAGCTTATCTATTCCACTCTCAACCAAACCAATCTTTTGGGGGAACAGTGAGCAGGAGAGAACCAGAGACAGAATGAGCTCCAACAAGTTCTCTCAGTGAAGCAGTTCACATTGCCCATACCTGTGTGTAACCTGAGTTCCCCGTAAACTGGACATCGTCTCTTCTAAATTCTGCCGTAGATCCGCAATGTTCTTTACTGTCCGAAGACGCCGCGCCTCAGGGTCTTCCACTGGAGAAGCAAGGATTAAGATCAGTCTAACTCTTCTAGACCATGAGGTTAGTTTGTTCGTTTCTTTGTTTGTTTTCCAAGTCAGGGTTTCAGGGTTTCTTTGTGTAGCCATGGCTGTCCGGGAACTCACTCAGTAGACCAGACTGTTCTCAAACTTAAAGATCCACCTCCCTCTGTCTCCTGAGTGCTGGGATTAAAGGCGTGGCCACCACACCTGGCTACAAGATCACGAGGTTCTTAAGAACAGCAACCAAGTCGGAGATTGAATTTACCAGCCAGATCCTTAAAGCACATAGGTGTGCATGCGTATGAACACTAGTGTATATGTTTGAGACTCAACTCCAGATCCTTCTACCTTTACCTCCCAAGTGTACGTGTGCGTGCGTGCATGTGTGTGTGTGCACGTGGGTGTGTGTGTATGTATAGTAGTATATATGTATGAGACTCTGAACACCAGATCTTTCTGCCATTACCTCCCAAGTGATGGAATAACAGGTATGTGCCACCTGGTTTATGTGGTGCAGGGGACATAACTGGGCTGCATGAAGGCTAGGCTGAGCTCTCCAGACCCACAGTGAAGGTCGATCCTACCTTCTCCTAAGAGCCTTGGAGTAATGTGGCTGCATCATCCCCATGGGCTGTCAATCTCTTTCATTATAGGTTAGCTACATTTATTATTTATGACTGCTTCAAAGGTACCACAACTCTGGGTCACCCTGGTGCAGTAGTGAGTCTCAGATCCTCAAATTACTTCCATTCATTAACTCTACCTCACCATAAAACCCCTGTAAAAATACAGGTGGGAGTGAGGCTTTGGAAATGTCTCTGCAGTAAAAAGCACAGGTTGCTCTTCCAGAGGACATGGGTTCTGCTTCCAGAACCTATACGACAGCTCACAATCACCTGTAACTCCAGTTCCAAGAGATCCAGTGTCCTCTTCTGGACTCCACAGGCACCAGACACACACGTGGTGCACAGACACAAATGCAGTCAAAACATATACATTAAAAAGTATTTAAACAAAAGGAATCACAGTTCATATGTAGGCTGGTGGAGGGGCTCACAGGTAGGACACACCCACCCAAAATGAATTCTGGCTTCTGATTTTCTTTTTTACCTTCATAAAATTACATTGTGGCTGGGCTGGATAGATCAGTGTACACAGTGCTTGCTATACAAGAGTAAAGACCAATGTTCACATAAAAGCCAAGTCTACAATCCCTGCACTTGAGAGGTAGGGAGGCAGGCCCCCCCCCACCCAGGCAAGCTGGCTAGCTAGACTAGCTAGACTCAGTGGGTGAGCTCTGAGTTCAGTGGGAGACCCTGTCTCAACAAATAGAGAAAGATCAAGGGAGGTGCCTGATATCAACTGCAGGCCTCCACTTACGTGCCTCTGCACATACCTGTACCCACACACATGCAAACACATGCACACACACACACACACACACACACACACACACACAGAGAATATAATGGTACAGTATCAACAAATTACCATGGAATTATTCTTATGACAACTGGGTGTTACATTTTGTGCGCATTTATGATGTATGTGTGTACATGCTTGTGTGCCTATGTGTGGGGACGTATGCACATGTGTGAGCATGCCTGTTCATGTCAGATGTTGTGTTATGTTTCTTCCTCAATTGTTCTCCACCTTACTTTTTTGAAGCATGGTCTCTCACTGAACCTTCAGCTCACTGGTTCAGCTAGACTGTCAGGCCAGCGAGTCCCAGGGATCCGAAAGTCTCCATTTTTTTCCAGCATTGCAACTACAAGTGTGGGCTGCTGTGCCCAGCTTTTAAAATGGGTGCTGGGGATTTGAACTCTGGTCCTCATCCTTGCACAGCAAGCATTCTACCCACTGAGCCACCCCCCCCGTCTCTGGATGTTGTGTTTTTATATACAGCATCATACCTTACAATTATTGTCTTGACTGTAATTAGGTAATTTAGGGATTTTTGTTTTGTTTTGGGTAAAAGACATAAGTTATAATCTATCTATTAATGTCCTGTGTATGAACATTCTGCCTGCATGTATGTCTGTGTATTACATGCCTGCTGGTGTTCCAGAGGCTGAAGAGAGCATTGGGCCCCTGGACCTGGAATTACAGTGGATGGTTGTGAGCTACCGAATGGGTGCTGGGACTTACATCCAGGGCCTCTGTAAAAGCCATAAGTGCTCTTAACTGCCCCACATCACCTGATGGCAAGTGATGAAAAGGTTTTTTTTTTAAATTTGGGCTTCCCTAAAACTAAAAGCAAACCTAGTATTTTTGAGTTCTAAATTTTGTCAAAGAGCAACTTCATATGAAGGGAGAACAATATAACTCAACATTAATCTTTAAAGTAGTCCAGGGCCCAGGCATGAGTCATACCCACAAGTTAAGAGACTTGGTCACAGTTCTAGGGAAGACTGAAGAGCTTGTGAGAGAGACAAGGCAGGAAAGTCATGGCAGAAGGGAACAATTTTTTGCTTAGCTCCCGCATCAGCAGCCTGACTAGCAGGTGCCCGCATGAGGGGCTTCCCCACACAGCAGCAACCATACCACCCAGGGCTCATACTCACCAGTGAGTTCCTCCAGAGCAGGCTGTCCGCTCTTGGTGTAGTGGCTGGGCTCCATGCTCACACCTGCTGAGCTGGACTCGGCAGTGACATTCCCTTCGGTGTCCGTCTGGGACCTTTACATACAAATCAGAGCAGACGCCATCATCAGGAGTAGAAACCGTCACATCTGGACTGCTTGCCATGGCCTGCTAGGCAAGCAGCTGTGGGGCAGAGCTCGCCAGCAGACCCACTCTAAATAATTCAACAGCCACGCTTGGAGAGGGCGACGGAACTCAGAGAGATGACATATAACAAAGGCCAAAGGGAGGGTCTGCCAGTTCTCGATGGGGACTGGTTTCCCAAGCCAGCCTCAGGATTCGAACCAGACACGTGCTAGAGGGAGCTGGGTGGTTTGGGCATTCAGACTTATGTCAAAAAAGAAAACAACTGGAAAGTAACCACAGCGTAAAGACGAGGCCACTGACGGCCCCTCTCGCCCCACAATCCTGACAGGTCAGGAGTGGGTGCCAAGCAGCTGCGTCTGCCCTCCAGGTTTCTGATTCACGGCTCAGATGTGACATGAAAGGTCTCATTGATCATTATTTCAACACTTGACTGAAACATGTACTTTCCCAACCCTTCTCCCAGGCCCTTATTTGTCAAGCAAATCGAACCAATGTTTGGTTTGCATGGGAGGTGTCTGGCCACAACTGCTTTGTCTCAGACCTTTAGTTTATTTGCATCTAGGACTGGATGGATCCAGCTACTTTTCACTACCCTGGAAAAATGCGCGCGCGCGTGCGCGTGTGTGTGTGTGTGTGTGTGTGTGCGTGTGTCCCATTTTTTATTATTGGGGATTAAACCCAGGGGCCTTGTGCACGCTAGCACGTGTCCTAGCATGTTCTAGCATGGGGCGATATCCCCAGTCCTAAGAACGCACCGAGTGTTGCGGGAGATGAAGTGGTAACTTCAAACCACCCACTCTTCTCTCTTCCTGTTCCCTCCTGCTGAAGCCATCGCTCCCAGCTCCTTAGCCGCCCTTTTAAAGGTCTGTCATTATTCCAGTGCTCCCGTTTAGCCCAGAGATCGAAGCACTCATCATCTGCTTAGGATTTATAAATGCTCTAAAACAGGCACACTGTCTCTAGCCTAGAGATTATAAATGAAAGGTAAGTAGGTATGCTATCCTACAGACAGATGTACTGTTAAAGACTTGCAAAGCATTTTTAAAAAATAATTAGTTCTCTCTCTCTCTCTCTCTCTCTCTCTCTCTCCTCTCTCTCTCTCTCTCTCTCTCTCTCTCTCTCTCTCAGTGGAGGTCTCTCTATATAGTCCTGGCTGTTCTACTCAATATATAGACCAGGCTGACCTGGAACTCACAGAGATCCACCTACCTCTGCCTCTTGAATGTAGAGATTAAGGGCACGTGCTACCATGCCTGGCAAATCAGCTCACTATTTATTTAACATTTGTTAGATTTTGAGGCAGGAGAGATAGCTCAGCAGTTGAGAGGACATGCTGCTCTTGCAGAGGACCCAAGTTCAATTTCCAGCACCCACAAAGAATGGCTCATTATTGCCTGTGACTCCAGATCCTGGGGGGATCTAATGCCTCTGGCCGTCACAGGCACCTGTAATCACATGCCTATCTTCCCCACACAGGCATAATTAAAAATAATAAAAATAACTTTAAAATTTGGGAGATTTCACACAAGAAACCACCTGGATTTCTTCATCCAGTAGAAGGAAGGATGGAAAGGAAGGATGTGGAGCTCCCGAGCCCACTTTGGAAGGGCGCCACCTGCTGGGACCTAGCAGTGGCTGCGCCCTCAGGAGGAGCAGGATGCTCCCTTGTGCTGCCTCACAGCTCCGTTCTGAACTCAGATGCATTCTGCACTGCACCTGCCGTTATCCCACACAATGCTAACAAACCCTGCCTGGACAGCTGGGCTTAGATTTGATGCTATTGTATGTTGTGAATTGCAGTCCTTTTACTCTACATGTAAAGATTGCTGCTTTAAAAATGCATATATAACATGTATGAATACACATATATATGTGCATCACACATGTTCAGTGCTCACAGAGGCCATAAGAAGGCATCAGATTCCCTGGAACTGAAGTCACAGACAGTTGTAAGCCACCATGGGGGTACTGGGGACCAAACCCAGGTTCTTTGCAAGAGTAGCCAGTGCTCGTAACAGCTGAGGTATCTCTGTAGCACCCAGAATCCAAGACAGCAAGGTTCCTGTAGCTAGACAGACTTGTTTTTTGTTTGTTTGTTGTTTGTTTTTTCAAGATGGGGGTTCTCTGTGTAGCCCCGACTGTCCTGGAACTTGTTCTGTAGATCAGGCTGGCTTTGAACTCGAGATCTGTCCATCTCTGCCTCCCAAGTGGCAGACTTGGTTTTAAACACAGATTCTTTAATTACCAGTTCTGTGACTTGGAACAAATTTCCTGGTCTAAGCCTCAGTTGCCCATGTGTAGACTTGGGATTTTAAAAGCAAACTAGTTGCCGGGAGTTGGTGGCTCACGCCTTTAATCCCAGCACTCGGGAGGCAGAGGCAGGTGGATCTCTGTTGAGTTCGAGGCCAGCCTGGTCTACAGAGCGAGTTCCAGGACAGCCTCCAAAACAATACAGAGAAACCCTATCTTGAAAAACAAAACAAAACAAACAAACAAACAAAAAACTCAAGCTAGGAAACAAAACTGGGAAGGACCCAGGGGACTAGAAGCAGAAAGCCCTTAGCTGGGTCTCCACACACACGTGGTTCACAAGCAATCGCTAGCTCTCCCTGTGGCCAGTGCCTAAGACCACAGGGGCTAACACTGGGCAGGGTACAGGTCCAATTCCTTTCCGGGACTCTTCTTCTCAGCCCTCCACTGGGTCCTCCAAAGAGGACTTCAGTATCTGGGAGGTTCCCTTCCTCTTGCTCCTCTGCATTTGTCACGAGGAATCTTTCCTCCCACCACAGAGAAGCCTGAAATAATAATAATTAAGAAGGCGAATGCTTGCTTTATAGTCTGCCAAAGGACTCAGTCAAAATGCAGACGGAGTCACACTGACGGCGATCAAGCACTCACACGTTTTAGTTTGACTAGTCAAGAAGCTGTCAAGTAGCCTGTCGCCTCAACACGATGCGTGCTGCTAGGGTTGTCAACAGTCTCACGGGGAGCTGTTCAATCCCCTCCACGTTTCAGAGCGCAATTCGTGAGAAGCCGTGCACGCAGCCGCACCAGGACTCCACCGAAAGAAGCCCTGGTCCTCTTTTCAGCATCACTAGCTGAGCTGGTGACCCGACTGAGTCAAACAGAACCGTCTGCCAATCAAAAGGGATTTCGAGGACACTCACGGAAGCGGGGAGTGGGCAGAGGAGAGTGGACATGGGGCAGCAGGGAGCCTGACATCATCCCCTCACCCACGGGGATGCTGGCTAGCTTTCTCCTGACAGCTCTAGTGGCTGGGAGCATACGAGTTCATAGGAACACAAGTCCGGCAGGGAGACAGGGAACATCTTATTCCTTGGGAAGTCACACAAATCGAAGAAGCCGAAAGTGTGGTCAGGAACGCACGAGCCTGGGCTTACGCAAATGCACCCGTGGGAACACACATTTGCGTTTGGAGCATGAATGCGTAATTGTGTCTTACTTATGCACAACTGCTGACTAGCAAGTACTGAATGCGTGTGCACATTGGTGTTTCTGCATTTTGGGAGAGAGCTGCGAACGAAGGGGATAGACTGCGACATGACCGCTTCGGTATACGCACAGGAGTTGGGGCCTAGCTGTGAAGTGCAGGCTAGCACACTATCCCTACCCAGCACAGAACCAGGGTAAGCTCTGTGAGCCAAGCTCTTAGCTCCCTTGTCAGTAGTACAGAGATGCCCATAAGCCTTAAGAACTAGCCACAGGCCTAGAGCGTGGGTGTGTGGTATGGGCAGAGCAGAATGGCTTTTGGGACAGAACAGTAACGTACACTGGTTCCGCAGGGTTCTATAGATGTCCCAACAGAGATAGAGGAAAAGGTCAGCAGATTCGTCCTTACCCCTTGTTCTAGAATGGCCCTTGCCAATATCATTTCTCCCTCCTTCATCTCCTCTCAGAAAGCCTCAGCAGGAACTATGAGACTTAGGAAGCTCAAGACCAATAAAAAGTCTTACACAGCAGAGTGGTCTTAAGTCTGCTTATTGCAGGCTACAGTTCGTTTTGGGTGACACCAAACCGGCCACTCTGCATATTCAGGCCTACATGCTTCAAGTGCTTCTGAAAAGGTCCTGGTCCCCACAGGCCCAGTGAAGCCTCCTGATCCTGGGATCAGCTCGCGGTGTAATGTGTTACTTTGGCTGTTGGCTCACATGTTCCTGGACCCTGCACCAGAAGAGCCAGCAGACAGGGTCTTTACCTGGGGGCGGGGGCGGGGATGGGGAGAGCGGGTGCTGCCTACCTGTACAGGAAAGGTGCAACCGTGGCTGTGTTGGGATGGTTGTATTGCTGCTGAGGCTGAGGTAGCTGAACACTGACGGTATTGCTTCCAGTGGTCTGGGTGGTCCCGACGGAGCCACTGACAGTCTGGCTGCTGATGCTGTGGTTCAGAGTGGTCCCCGAGGGGCCTTTTCCCTCCGAGGATGCCAAGCTGGAGGAGGAGCTGGAGTGTCTGCTGTCCAGCTGGGGCTTCTGCGGGGGAAGCCCTGAGCTCAGCTTCCCTCGGCTCCGCTCTCCTTCTTTGGGAGGCGTGGCAGCACTTGGGGACTTCCCGGGCATGCTCTTCATCCCTGGTTTTGGTATTCCGCTGTGGGATGGAGCCGTGGCCTCCTTCTTGGTGCTGTTGAGCTTCCCACCTTTGGGGATAAAGCTGGCAATCTTGGAGGACTTTTTGGGCATCTCAGTCACAGACACCCCACTGAGCTCTTCCTTGAGGTCAGGCCTGTCAGTCATGGAGACCCTCTTGGTGAGGTCCTTGCCCTTTTCTTTCTCCTTCTCCTTGTCGCTGCCCTTTGGGGAGCTCTTCTTGTTGGTAAGCGCCCTGCTGAAAGTCCGCTGTGCGATGCCCTTGAGTGCGATCTTGGGGCTGCTGGATGCAGGACCCGCAGTAGAAAGGGCCTTGCTAGCAGCTTCCAACTCCTCGCACTCTTCAAAGCTGGGCAGGATCTCCAGTCGCTCACAGCTCGTGTCCCTGGATGCCGAGCCTTCACCTGCCTTGGAGCCCCCCTTACTGTTGAAAAGTTTGAGCTTCTCCAACATGGATTTCTGGTTGTTGGGGGCAGGCTTCATGGCTTCAGGGGTGGGCCTGGGAACCTCGGGCCCAGCGGGCTTGACTGAAAGCATGGATGACGTGGCACTATGCTTCACACTGAGGGACTTGCTGCGCCAGGGCTTGGAGGTCATGCTGGGCTGGGGAATGGCTGAGGAGCCGTTAACAGGAATGGCAGGACTGTTCTCCAAGGAGGCAAGTACATTTTCGCTCATTCCGGGCTGGGAGGAAGCGGAGCTTGCCAATGGCTCTGTAGAGGCAGGGAAGGGAGAGGAACCTGAATCACATCGTCTGAACTGCGGGGAAGGACGCAGGAAGATCACCCATGGCTACCTGGGCAGTCACTCCCCACCCACATGCCCTACAGCCCCATTACTGGAGGTGTGGATTATCTGTGGTTAAAATTTAATGCAGGTCATCCTCCTGTCCTCCATCACGCACTGTTCACACGGCACCTCCCCCAGCCTACCACATTTTGGTTGTGTCTGTTCTGTAAACACATGCCAATCTTAACAGTAGCGTGCAGAGCACAACTAAGAATGTAAATAATCTACCGAAAAAGAGAAAATCCTTTAACACCACCACCTAGCACTCCTGTGGTGTGCCAGGGTGCAGGAAATAAAAGACTTTAAATTATTTAACACGGAATTCCATTTATGCATAATAGTCACGAGGTATCCAACTTTCAGGAGACAACTTACCATGGATGTTAAAATAACGCAGAAACTAATCATTTTAAATGAAAAGTAGTTTACCCATAAAAAGTTTCTAATTCCTATCAAAATTGTAAGCTTTTTCTATGCTGACCCTTTCTTTTCCTTTCTTTTTATTTTTGAGACAGGGTTTCTGTGAGAAGTTCTGGTTGTTCAGGAGCTCACCCTGTAGACCAGGCTGGCTTCAAACTCAGAGATCCGCCTGCTTCTGCCTCCTGAGCGCTGGGATTAATGGCATGTGCCACCATGCCCAGCCTAAAGAATTTCACTTTGTCTTGTTTGGGAAAGCAGGTGAGGAGACAAGTGATTTCTTTCTCTGCATTCACTTGGGAATTCACAGGAAGAGACAGGAAGGAGAGTTCTCTCCTCTGAACACTTAAAACCCCCATACACATGCCTGGGTGGGCTGGAATCACCAACCTTTTGACACTGGCCAATCGCATGATGGAGACATTATGCTGGCACTTTCAAAGGCTTATGAACAGAAAATACTTCTTTTACTTGAGAACACAATCTAAGCATGTGCACCCCCACCCCGCCCCACCACACACGTGCACGCATGCGCGCGCGCTCTAGTGTATACACACACACACACACACACACACACACACACACACACACACACACACACACGGCAAGAAAACACAGGTTATTTCAGGGTCAAGGCTTCCCCGTTTCCTTGCCCACACACAGTCTTTTCTCAGAAGTATATGAAGATATTTCCACACAAGCACCAGGACCATTCTGGGAAATGCGGGCTCCCTACTACTGTTCCGTTACTCACCACAGTGGCCCCGCATTAGAGAGCCCCCAAACGGCAGCTCCTTCTTCAGACGGAACTGCCATCGTATGCCAGCAGTTCCAAGTGCCAGTAGCAGCCAGAGAAAGTGGCCGGAAGACAGAGGAAACACCTCCACTGAGCCTGAGCGCGCCCCCCCCAACCTAACCCCATCAGCCCCTTAAAAGAACACGGTTTGCAAAGCCACAGCGCCGGGACTTACCTAGCAGCGGCCACTTTCTCCCTCAAGGATTCTTGATGAGAAATTCTGCAAGCCGAGAGGCTGCCCTTCCAATTGTCACAAGTGTTTTCGGTTAAACTGCTCATGTTTCTAATTAACTTTTGTCATCCGCAACTACTCCTGTGCCCAGAAGCCTGGCAGGATTAACGGCTGCTTCCTCAGCCACCCCTCCACCCCCACCCCTTCCTAATACCTATGTTCTGCTGCCTTCCAGCAACAGAGTAAACTGTACACAGAGCGGCTTTTGATGATTTAAAAGTCAACGGCTGCTAAGGTTGGGTCAAGGCAGCCCTGCGTGGGGCGCAAGCGCTGGGAGCCGGGCAGTCAGGGAACTGGCTGAGTCTGCCCGCAGCTGCACGGGGAAGCCACAGCTCTGGGTGATCCAAAGCAGACCTCCCAATGTTTTAAAACACATCCATCTTCCTGACTTAATGGGGAATTTGGATTTGGAGGGGAGGGTGCTGCAAAACTCCTCTACCAAAACTAACGGGTGTTGCTGGATGTTTTCCTGGGCAGGACCACAGACTGGCTTGCAAACTAGTTGGGGAAACCTCCCCACACTACCAGTCTGTCATAGGGTATCCTTGGCTTGACACCGCCCCCGCCTTGTGGGGGGGGGTCTCACGGGGGATCTGGAGGCACACCACTGGACATATTGTTAAATAGTGTTCCTGCTTCCCTTACGAGAGAGGAAACTGAGGCCAGGCAGAGCTATTTTGTGACCGTGTTCGTTCATCTAATATGGAAGACCGGGGATTTGAACCCAGGTCCTCTGACACAGCACTCTCGGGGATACCATAGTAATGACTTGTATTTATTTATTTGTGGTTGTTGTTAAAGGCACTGTCTTCTGCATCCCAGGCCAGCCTTAAACTTGTTATGTAGCTGACAATGACCTCCTGCCTCTACGTTCCCAGGGTGTGCTACCTTTGGTTTATGTGGGGTTGGGAAATGAACCTGGGGCTTGGTGCATGCTGGGAAAACTCTCCACCATTTGAGCTCTTCCCCCAGCCCATGCAAACAATGGTGTCCAACGCCCAGACTGTTTTCCAGACACCGTCTTTCCTCCTGCCTTATTATATATGATGGCGATATCCACAGTAGGGCCAGCTACATCCCTCATCAGGAAGTAGCCGTAACCTGGAAGAGTCTCTCTGGATAAAGAAACTAAGTTTCCAAGCCAGGACCACTTTTCCTAGGAAAATTGCCTTTCCCTATACCTGGGATCTTATCAGAAGCCAAGTGAAACATCCATCCATCCACTCACCAACACACCCACAGCCTTCCATCTGCCTACAAATCCATCCTCCACCCATTTACCCTCCCACCCCACCCACCCACTTGCTCGCTCGCTCACTCACTCACCCGCCCACTCGCTCGCTCGCTCATCTTTACACACACCATCCATCCAGACAGACACTCAGCATGCTCACACCAGCATTAATGTATTCCTCAAGCACCAAGTGCTGTCTAGGTACGCGGAGCACGTCCACAACCAAAGACCTCTGCCTTACGAGACTTCACATCTTAGAAGAAGGAAACGGAAAAGAACTCATTAATACATCATCTGCAGGAAAGTAAGTGCTCGGGTAAGTCAGATCTGCAAGAAAAGAGGGTGAGCTGCTGGGTGAGAGGTTTCAGTGAGTCCAAGGCCAGTCTTGTCTATGCAGCGAGTTCTGGCGTTACATCGTGAGACCCTGTTTTTTGTTTGTTTGTTTGTTTTTTAATAAAAGGAAAGAGGATAAACTGTTTCTGCTATTTCTCTGGAGTCCTTTCAGCTGTGCTCACATTAAGATCCCAGGGAGCCTTTCAGAAGCTTCACGAGGCCAAGCCACGGCCATTTTTGTTTCACGGGGAACCACACACTCAGCCTTCACCCCTCACACACTATGCCCTTTCGCTGCTCTGTGTGGTAATGCATAGGGTGTTTCTTTATTTTCCACCATTCTCCCTCAGCAGTTTCTCTTCCGGTGTTTACTCATGGAGAAAGCTGTCTGGGGCAAGGTGTTGTCAACCTTGTTCATTCAGAAACGCTGGTGTCCCCAGGAAACAGGCCTAGCGGAGGGAAGGCCGGGTAACTTCTCTAAAGGAGGAGAGCTCCTGTAATAACTAACAGCTCTTGCTTTTTTCCCTCATGTGTATGAGCCTCCCCCTTCCTCACAGCAAAGGAATGTAAGAGGGAACAGGAGAAAACATACAAGAATGTTCTGGGCGTCGTAACTCCTACTGTGCCACATGGGCTACTCTAGGAAGTGAGTTGCTGGGCGTCCTATCCCCCGCCCTGCCACTGTAGGAAGTGAGCTACTTTGCACAGCTCACAAATGAGCATTTTTGTCCTTCTAAAGGTATATCGCAACTAGCTTGTGTAGAAAACGAACTATTTCGTGTTTATTAAATGGACATTTAAATTTCAAGTTGACCTAAGCGTTATGGCATGAAGAACCACAAACAGTTCACAGATTTTGTGAAACTCACACAGGTATGTGAGCAATACAGGTTGAAGAAACGCCACTGTTTCTTTTTATATCAAATCTATTCCTTTGGCCCAAGTCAGACTGACTTAAAAAACTCATCTGAAACGGCTACTTTAGGCATTTGATTCACGTATGCATTTGAGGGGCGCAGAGTACACTGCTGAGAATTGTCTGGTCAGCAACAGAACCTAGTCTTGATGGGCAAAAATAAATTTAAAATAGGAACATCATGATTCAGTAAGTGGCTTGTGAACATGGATCTGTATATAAAGATGAACCGCATCAAGACAGTCTTGTAAAAAAAATTACTGTGTGTGTGTGTGTGTCTGCCTGTGTATCTGTCTCTCTCTCTACCTCTGTGTGTGTATGTCCTGGCATGTACATGCCATAGCATGCTTTTGGATAACTTTCTGGAGTTTGTTCCTTACACCATGTGGGTCCTGGGGACCCATGTAATGTCTGCGCAGCAAGCACCACAGTTACCTTCTGAGACATCTTACCACCCTCTAAGACATACTCTTTTTTTTTTTTTTGGTTTTACGAGACAGGGTTTCTCTGTATTGTTTTGGAGGCTGTCGGTTCAGCCTGGCCTCGAACTCACAGAGATTCGCCTGCCTCTGCCTCCCGAGTGCCGAGTGCTGGGATTAAAGGAGTGCGTCACCACCGCCCGGCTCCAAGACATACTCTTATTGTGTACAATGAACTCTGACATAATCTACTCTAGTGTACTTTTAAAAAACGCCAATGACAAGGACCGTGGAGTAGTTTAGTGTATAAAGGACTTGCCTTCCAACCCTCAGAAGCTGCTTAAAGCGTCCCCAGCATGGAGGCATTCATGTGGAATCTCAGGGACAGGGAGGCAGAGACCACTGTATCCCCAGGGCTGCTCTGGCTTGCTGTTCTGGTCTGGCAAGCTCCAGGTCAGTAAGAGGCACTTCTCAGAAAAGCACCAAGCAGACAGTGACACCTGAGGAACCACACCAGAGGTTGCTTTTCTCTTCCCCACATGTATTGGCACACACATGTACACATATGCACACTGGG